ACCAGTTAACAGTTGAACTCCTGATCCCCAGTCGTTAGGTCCCTTAACAGTTTGCATTCAACTTCACCCAACAAACCATGACATTTAGTGTAGGATTGTGTGATCTAGGAGAATCAAATGAATGTGTGACATCATGCATGAGGATGCATGCAATGGGGGTGATGATGACTCAGAGTAGCAACCATGCTTGATTGCAGCATGCCATGAGGGACATCACACTGTGTCACAGTGTCCCAAGGAACCCACAACTTCCAAGAACAAGTACAGGTAACAAATTGAGATCTGTTAGAGGGTATATTATGGGTTTTATTCCCATATAATTTATAAAGGACTTGAAGACACTTCACAAAATTTCTGTACATACATTTGGTGTAAGTTTGAAGTGTGGGGCACACAAAACAAAATATGCAAATTGGTGTCCCAAAGACCACCAAAATACTGTATGACTGAGTCCATGTGTTTTTCTACCTCAACTAAATTGTATATGTCAAAACCTATGATATGTCTCCACACACCACATACAATTTCTATATTGTACATTTCATTGTAACAGACTATTGTGTTTGTTGCCAGAGATGGTGACAGTTCAAGCAAGAGAGGCAGAGAGCAAATTAAATTAGGAGCAAGTATATACATAGTTGTCTTTAATATACATGTATTTGGATCCACCTTAGCTAACTACCCATATGAGGTGTATCCGCGTTGCATCCACCTTGCGGTGGCTGAGTCTTCCGGATGCCATCGGGTTGCCCGACTTCGTCATTCTCAACAGTGTTGCGTACCTTAGCCCCTGGCAGTGGGCGGAATGGCCGAGCAAGGTAGTGTCCGCCGCGGGTCACGCGGCGCTTCTCGAGTTTCAAATCTCGATTGCGATTGGATCACGTGCAGGTACTCCGGAGCCCCCCTTCACGAGTCGGCGACGCGTTCTGTCACTGTGCATGCGCGCGCGTCTTTGTTCTGTCCGTCTGCTCTTGTGTTCTCACAATGTTCTCCAGCGCGTCGTACCCTTCGAATGTAAATGGTGGTTCGGCCCAGGATGCACGCCCACTTTTTCCTCACTCCCACTCTCATCCCACTCACCAAGGAGGCTTTGGCGTGGCGGGCATGTCCAACCCTGCCGCCTCGCATAGTCCTAGTCCTCGGGGGAGCGGGCTGGGCAACAGCATGAGCATGAGCGGCTCCTTAGGCATTGGATCTTCTCTTGGCGAGGGTCTATCTCAGCAGAGAACTCATTATCAACCAGGCTACCTGATGGTAGGTCTTTACTACTTGAGGCCTTTTGCTGTATATACGCTGATACGGCTCTGGTGATGTATCGCTTTCTAGTCGGCTACTCAGAACAACGTATGATAATGCCTCCCTTCGACGCGTCGCGTGCATCTGACGACTCACTCGATACAGGTAGTTCCCCAAGGCAGCCAGCGTCACGAAGAGGCGCCTATGGTACAAACAAAAGCCAAGTTGAACCATGTCCTCGCCGGAAGTTCAGCATCTGATTTCGGGATGGACTCTATGTTTGAGAGCTCAAGGCAATACTTACTCGCTACCGTCCAAGAAGAAAATGAAGCTAATGTCCGGCTTAGGCAAAGACACAGGCAACCTCTCGCTGATGAGGACGCTCCACCGACCAACTCGGTCAATGACATTGTCAATGAGGTTTATTCAGATACGGGCCCATATCGCTTTGCACCGCGGGTATGAAACTTTCTGCCCGTCCCCCAGTTTTGGTGCTGACTATATCTAGAATTCGACTATTGATCACTCTTCCAGTCGTACACCACTCTTCCGCTCCTCTCACCCCGCTACCCCTAAGTCGACTCCGCCTACTCAGCAACCCCTTTATGTCGTCGTCTTTGGATACCCACCCGACAAGTACAGCGTTGCCGTCGAGTATTTCCGCTCGATCGGCGAGACGACAGAAGCTGAGCAGAACACGGAGATTTCGAATTGCTTCCGGCTCGGCTATTTGAATCCTGCTGAAGCAATGCGTGCGGTGCGGAAGAACGGCGACGTGCTCAGTGGGTCTTGGATGGTCGGCGTAAAGTTTGCGGTACGTTTGCTAACTGTTCATCGACTTCGTCGTACTTGTCGTTCATGCAGTGATAATTGATGTATCGAACCTATAGGACCCCATTCAAGCCGAGAGTATTCTGGGACCTGCAGCTGTAGGAGGCCTGACACAGTCAGTTGCTCCAAGCCCGGATGCTATGTCCACATCCCCGCCCTCAGGATTGGGAATGTTTTCATCAGTGTCGCACATGAGCATCGATGAGCCTAGGTCACCTCCCACACCATCGACGCCGACGCCCGTGGTGGGCACTCCTATCAGGTTAGCGCCATCTGCGGCAGCATTCCGCAAACCTGGTATGAGTGCTGGAGGTGGTCCTCCGCAGAAGACGCAGGCCAGCCAAAGTGTGAACAATACGCTCCCTTCTGCCTCTCCTGCATCTCCGAACAAGGGCATGCTAGAGCAGGTGTCGGATCTTATATTTGGTTGGTAGGGCAAAGTGTCAATGTCAGGTAGACAATACTATTCTACTGTTCTTTGCTATGTTCTGGGACCACTGAAGGGTGCTGCCAGTTTTCTGCTGCATGGACCATTGGAATTACAACTGCTTGATTCGTGCTGCGGTACGGTTCGTCGTGTCCGACTTGTCAATTCCAGTTTTGGGGCCTGTCTCCTCCATCACGTCCGTCAATTCCAGGGTTGCGTCAATAATGCATATCATTGATGGAGCTCTCAACTGAAGCTCGTCTCGGCATCTACAGTGATACAAATTTGTGTTGTGGCATTGTCTTCTTGAGCTTGTCTTCTCCCTAGGGACAGCCTTGTCAGGATTCATGGAAGTCAATTTCTTGCTGCGTAAATTCATTGACAAACAGGGTTCGAGCAAGCTGATCGCGACTGGCACAAGTTGACATTCTTATTCTTTCTCCTCGTGTCAGCCGCCCGTACGCCGTCTTGGCTGCACTACAGGGCCGCAGCTAGGCCGCCAGTTGATAAAGTTGCTTCAAGGATTGCGTCGGATAACGTGTACGAATCTGAGAGTCATGTGCATCGCCATCCTGACTAACCCGCTTGTACTAGTACTTATAATGACGAGATAATAACGAACTTGGTCTCTCTATCTACCAGTCAGTTACAAGGTCGGTCACCTACGTATGTGCTCTCTACCCAAAGTCTGACTTTCGCGAGTAGCAGCACCGATCATTCATATATCAGCTATAACCCTATCTCCCGACATGCCTGATCATGAAATCATTGGCGGCATCAAAGCCGAGGACAAGTTCACGGCCCATGAAGTCGTCTCTGGTGACGTTATTTCAGATCTGAGGCTTTCCAAAGACGCAGCGAAGGTCGTCTACTGTGTGGCACCGCACTATAAATCTGGCGATCACAAGACTTCAGCACTTTGGTTGGCTGAAACATCACTGGAGAACAGTTCTAGGAAGATTACGTCCGGTAGTTCACGGGATTCTTCTCCTCGGTTCCACCCAACCTCGTCGTACATCTACTTTCTATCCGACCGCCTGAAAGTCGGTGGTCCCACGCAGATCTATCGTATTCCCTGTGATGCTACACCAGAGACCGACCCGATCCTTGTGTTGCCGCTGAACCAATCAAGGACAGTAAATGCCTTCGCGATTTCCCAAGACGGAAAATACATTGCATTCATTGGCAAGCCGCACTCTGACAAATCAGACCTAAAGGATCCGATTGCAGTATGGAGAGAAGAGAAAGACTTCGCATCTCTCTTCCTCGTCGACCTTCAAGATGAAACCAAGGCGTGAGCCATTTTCCTAAGGTGCTTGAACACTCAAAACATACTGACTGCCTACGTCGCCAGCGTCCGTTCATTGGTTTCGGCCGACGCTCACGTTGATTCGTTCACCTGGGGTCCCAACTCCGCCTCGATCATATATCGGCTACGCGATCATTCGGATGCAGAAAGTGGGAGTGAGTCAGTGGTCGAAGAGATCGTCTCCATCGGCACCGGAGCCGTGAGCGGGATCTACAAGCATCGCATCTCCCCTTCGAGTCCGACCATATGGCGACAGGATGGGGAGCTAGTGTTCATGCAGAACACGTCCCCGACGCGCCTGCTCTCATCGCAGTCGGTGTGGACCCGGTCTTCGACGGCGCTACAGCCTCCCCGCCACGTCGCATACGGCGACACTGAGTGTGCTTACGATGTCGTTGATATCGGCGCCGACTCGCAGTACGCGGTGATTGTGGGCTCGGGCTTGGAGACGCGTGTCGACGTACGAGACGCGAGTCATGCGTCCTTCACAGCGTTTGCGATGACGGACGAGAACATTTCAGACTGGGACGTCAAGGCCGTTGACCAGCGCTATGTGTTCGTCGCTCTTCGCAGTTCGGGCGTAACTGGGGAGCTGCCAGATGTCTGGTCCGGCGTGACGACCAAGAAGGACTCGGGTGTCCTCGTCAAGAAGCTGTCTTCCCACCAAACTGGATTTGCTTCGAATAAGTTCCCCATTTCGAAGGCTTTCTCTTGGACAAGCACGGATGGGGAGCGTATCGAAGGCGTCATCTCTCATCCAAGAGGTGTCACGGAATTGAAAAGCCTACCCACGGTCATTGTCCCGCACGGCGGTCCGACAGCGTACGTATCACTCTCAGTATGGCGGTTTCGATGCATCTGATCTGTGCATAATCTAAACGCGTTCAGTCGTGACTTGCTGAATTTCACACTCGGTGAGTTCCAATTGTTGCTGACAAGTTAGCGAGTAGAAGTCTGAATCAAGTTCTACAGAGGACTTCGCGTGGCGCCAATTCCTGGCGTCGAATGGATTCCTAGTGTTTTCGCCGAACTACCGAGGAAGTAAGTAGTCGTTCGCATCTACCTCGTCGACTTCCTATGAATCATGAATTTAGGTACCGGCCGGGGAGATAATTTCATCAAACCGGCCAATGGAGGAATGGGTACACTGGAATGGGAAGATATCGAGAGCATGATTGAGGAAGGTACCGCGCAAGGCCTAATTGACCCAGATAGGATGGCGCTCGCGGGCTACAGCCAGGGAGGATTTCTCACCGCCTGGGGTTGCACTCGGCCGAACAATCGCTTCAAGGCGGGTGTAGTAGGAGCGGGAGTCACACACTGGGGCTTTCTAGCTGCGTCCTCGGATGTGCCAGAATTGGAAGTGAGTGAGACTTATCTTATTCCTGTCAATACCTAAATGTCTATCCCACTCAAAGGCAGCCCTTGGGGGCGCCGCGCCGTGGACCGCTACCGAAGCCGCGAACCTGCAGGGCAGCGCTGTAAGAGACAGCCAGAACGTCACGGCACCCCTCCTGTTCCTACACGGCAAGGAGGATAAGCGAGTGCCGCTCACCCAGGCTATCGCTCTCTACCGGGGGATTGAGCGGGAGGCAAAGACTGCGCCGAAGCCGACGCTTGTGGTCTATCCTAGGGAGGACCATATATTCGAAGAGCGCGAACACGCACAGGACGTCCTTGAGCGATTGCTTCGCCACCTTGAGACGTATCTGAAATAGATTTTGGATGACGGAGGTTCTTGAGTGTACCTATTTTCTCTTCAGAGGTCATTGGTGGGCGATGGCATTTGGTATGCCCGATGCAGAGCGTATTCTTATTCTGATTCAATATCAGGGACGCGGTGTTGACTGACATGACGCTGCAGTGTAAGAATTCGTGCGCATGTCTGATTTGAGAAGGAGCGTCTTTCAGATTTTGAGCGTCATGATGGCCTGTCATGCAAAGCTGCCCACACATAAAAGACACCGCTTTGAAAGAAGTCAAGTTTGATATCGTTCGCCCCTCCCCCATTGACATGCCTGCTATATCCTCAGGTAAGGTGCTCGTCACCGGTGCAAATGGCTATATCGGGATATGGATTGTACGCACTCTCCTTGAGAAAGGCTACAGTGTGAGAGGCACAGTTCGTTCCGAGAGTAAGACGGAACACTTGCGCAACACCTTCGCCTCGTACGGCGACAAGCTTGAATTTGCTGTCGTGGAGGATATCACAAAGGTGGGCCCAACGTCGTATCGGGAACCCTGTACCGGATAATGCAGCAAATAAATAGGAAGGCGCGTTCGACGATGCAGTCAAAGGGGTAGACGCGATCGAGCACACCGCCTCACCTGTTTATGCAACGGCAGGGGACCCGGAAGAGATGATACGGCCTGCTGTGGTCGGAACCACGGGCATACTCAAGTCCGCATTGCAACATGGTACCAGCATCAAACGCATCGTCTACACTTCGTCCTGTGCCACCATTATAACTGTGCAAGACACGCCGCGGGAATTCTCCGAGGCAGACTGGAATGAAAAGTCCATCGACGAGGCAAGAGTGAAGGGTAGAGATGCAGCCCCTACACACAAGTACTATGCAAGCAAGACTTTGGCGGAGAGAGCTGCATGGGAATTTGTAGAGAGAAATAAGGAGACGATTGGCTGGGATCTAGTCACTCTCAATCCGCCGTTTGTGTTCGGGCCGACGATACACGAAGTAAATAGACTGGAGGGCATGAACGCAAGCATGAACGAATGGGTCAAGAACGTATTGAACGGAGTCAAGGACACGAAGCAGCTGTCTGATATAGGGTAAGCGGAACATGGCTGACAATGGGAATGGGAATGAGGATGTTCAGTAAGACCAATAGGCTGTCCTCGGTCGACGTGCGAGACGTAGCGGAAGGACATGTCCTCGCGCTCCAGAAGGAAGAAGCAGGGGGTGAGCGCATGATCCTTAGCGAGGGTCCACACAAGTGGCAGGAATGGGGTAAGCCAAGCACGAGAATGCATTCCTACGAAGACTAACCTCCATCCAGTAAACGCCGTACGAGAGCATAACGTCGAGGTTCCCGTGGCTGGCGACGCGTCCTTCGATCCGACCAAGGCAGCTCATCATACGTTGTACGACGGGTCAAAGGCGAATCGGCTGCTGGGGATTAGATATCGGACGTTGAAGGAGACGACACGAGACCTCGTTGAGGACTGGAGGATGAGAGAGTGGATCTGAGAGCAGTATGTCAGTTACTTAGTTGCAGCATCCGAAGTCGAAGGATTAGTATATAGTTCCCCTATTATACTTGGCCCATGTCCACCGGAAGCAAAGAAAATGAAACAGGCCGACAGCCGTGTCACAAGCCGCGCCGTCTGGTGTATCGGATGGCCGGGGCCGCTGATAAAGGAACTCCCTCCCGCCAAAATTGAATAAATAGCAGAGCGCTGCCGTGGCGCCCGTGCCTCCTCGTCGCCATTGTTTGCGTGCTCGACGTGCTCGCTTTCCACGCCAATGGCCTCCTTGGCGTCCTGCGCCAACCGCGAGGGCTGGGGGCCTGTATCCCCAGTCCGCCCGTTCGACCTCACGCCGTGCTTCCACGAAGGCGTCGTCCTTTCCACACTCTCGGCCCTTTTCCTCGTCCTCGCCGCCCTCAGGTGCTGGGCCCTCAAAAGCCGGGAACCACGCTCGAAGAGTGCGAAGAGCATCTGGTTCCTGAGAGCAAAGCTTGTAAGCTGCTTCGTTATTCAGTTGTGCGGCTAGAAGCACTAACGCCACTACCCAGGCTCTGCTCTCGCTCGCGTGCGCAATAAGCTGCGCAAACCTCATCTTGGTGCTTGTCACACACCGGCGGGTTGCCTTGGTTCAATCTTACGTGCTCGAGATCCTTGTCCTCCTTGTCCTCCCAGTCTTGACCACCCTCAACCACTATCGCGCACGCACCTCGTCCTCTTTGCTGCTACTCTTCTGGCCCCTCTATGTCCTTGGCTTGCTCGTCTGGGCTCGCACTGTCTTCGGCACATCCTACCGCTCGCTCCTCCCAGTCATTGCATTGAGGTGTGCTGTCGCAATATTGGGTCTCGCCGCCTTTGGTCTAGAATGCTTCGGCACCGAGTTTTCGCCAGAAGACCGTCCGTCGGGTTCCGCGAATGGCCATGTCGAGAGCCCCCTTCTCACCGCAAACATATTCAGCATCTGGACTTTCTCATGGATGTCTGATCTCATGAAGAAGGGTGCATCTACTTACATCACCGAGAACGATCTACCTTCGCTCGTTCCCAAGGATGAGTCTGCTAATCTCGGTCTGAAATTGCAAAGTGCCTTGCAGAGACAGTGAGTGATCAGGGACACCTGTCATACGCTTTGTCTCACCTGTATATAGCAAAGGTCTATGGTCGGCACTCTTCGTCGCCTATGGCGGAGAGTACGCCGTCGCTGCGTTCCTGAAGATCATTCAAGATTGTTTGAACTTCTTGCAGCCACAGCTCCTCCGATGGCTGCTTGCATACATCTCCGACTACCAGATTTCCCGGTTCAACTCGGAACGTCCTAGTCCAATTGAAGGTTTTACCATTGCCATCATCATGTTTTCTGCGTCCATTACGCAGACCATCGTTTTGCACCAGGTATACTCCTCTATCCATTCTATGAACGCGGTTGTTGAACAATGTTCTACAGTACTTCCAACGCTGCTTTGAGACTGGTATGCGTGTGCGCGCCGGATTAGTCACAGCTATCTACCAGAAGGCACTTGTGCTCTCCAATGACGGTCGTGGACGTGCTTCCGGCGACATCGTGAATTTGATGTCTGTCGACGCGATGCGACTGCAAGATCTCTGTACCTATGGTCTGATCGCCATCTCAGGGCCGTTCCAGGTATGAGTCCTTTCTTGCATGATTCACATCTCTTGATTATGTTTGTTCAGATTACGCTAGCATTCGTCTCGTTATACAACATTTTGGGGTGGTCCGCATTTGTCGGAGTGGCTATTATGGTCATCTCCATACCGCTGAATACCTCTATTGCGCGATTCTTGAAACGGCTTCAGGAGCAACAGATGAAGAACAGGGACAAGCGTACGCGCTTAATGAGCGAATTGCTTGCTAACATCCGAAGGCGAGTCTCCAGCCAGTTGCTTACGCGATACAATGAACAACTTTCGTGCACTTGGCAGTATCAAGTTGTACGCTTGGGAGAATGCCTTCATCCGCTGGATCCTCAGCGTGCGTAATGATCAGGAGCTGAAGATGTTGCGCAAGATCGGTATTGTGACAGTGAGTGGAATTTTTTGTATTATTATCGTCTTGCCTGATCCATTTGCCTGCACAGTCCTTGAACACTTCCCTATGGACTGGCATCCCTCGTGAGTTATCGCAAATTGTAGATGTACTCACATTCAATGTAGTGTTGACAAACTCCTTATTTGGCGTGTAGTGCTGGTCGCATTCAGCTCCTTTGCTGTTGCTGCTGCAACGTCTCAGGTGCCTCTCACCTCTGATAGGATTTTCCCTTCCATCTCCTTGTTTATGTTGTTGAGCTTCCCTCTGGCTATGGTATGTTAGGAAGTGCTACTGTATTTGAAAGTCGTACATGTCTAACTTCGACTGCTTTATCCAGTTTAGCCAGGTGACATCGAATATTATCGAAGCACTTGTCTCCGTCAACCGTCTTTCCGATTTCCTGGCGGCTGATGAGCTCCAACCTGACGCTCGGGAGATGATTACCACGAAGAAGCTTGAGATTGGCGATGAGGTGGGTTTTCGATGATTTTGTTCGCAATGGATACATGGGTGCTCATCTATTCATTCGTAGATTGTGTCTATTGCCAACGGAGAATTCTACTGGTCTAAAGACGCACCCTCACCCACCCTTGAGGGCATCAACCTGTCACTGAGGAAGGGAGAGCTTGTTGGTATTCTTGGTCGTGTTGGCGCCGGCAAGGTAAGATCCCATGCCCTACGTTCGGTGAATCGGTGTCGCTGAAACCTAAGTGTCTAGACGAGCTTGCTTTCTGCACTTATCGGCGAGATGCTGAAGACAGACGGCGAAGTCAAGGTGTCGGGTTGTATATCTTATGCGCCTCAAAATCCCTGGTGAGTATCTTCAATGGGCTCAATAACCTTGACGGCACTTCATCCTTATTTTTGTCTTAGGATCATGAGTGCTACGATTCGGGACAATATATTGTTTTCGCATGTGTATGATCCTGAATTCTATGAACTGGTCTTGGACGGTATGTGGCTCGTGATTGGGGATGTCATTTTTTCATGACCGTACTTTTAGCGTGCGCTCTCAGGCAGGATCTGGCTCTTCTACCCAACGGCGATCTTACAGAAGTTGGAGAGAAGGGCATTACTGTAGGTTCCTTTTCCGTGACACTGTGGCTCGTGTTTACATGGTGAAATTGCAGCTGAGTGGAGGTCAGCGTGCTCGCGTTGCTCTTGCTCGCGCAGTCTACGCTAGGGCCGACATGTACGTCCCATGCCCAAACTATGTCTGCTGCTCTATCTAACTTGTGGTAGTGTAATCTTGGATGATGTGCTTGCTGCTGTAGATTCTCATGTCGCTCGCCATGTGTTCGGTATGTTGCGTCCTGTTCTTCCGGAATATTGCATCTCACATCTTGTACTAGATCATGTAATTGGCCCCCATGGATTGCTCTCCTCGAAAGCGCGTATCGTGGTTACGAACAGCATCCACTTCCTGAAGCAGTTCGACCAGCTCGTATACATCCGTCGAGGTATAATCCTCGAGAATGGCTCATATCAAGACTTGGTCAACAACACTGAAAGCGAGATGTACAAGCTCATGTGAGTAAAGTTGCCCGCTGATTGAGTAGAGATAGAAGTCTGAACGTGTTTTCGAATGTGCAGCAAAGGCCACGGCAGCCTCACCACGTCCGGGGTTTCCACGCCGTTTGTCGGAGATACTGCCACGCCCTCCTCTGGAGGGGAAACTGCGGTGGAATCCTCGCGTGATCTTACGGAAGAGAAACTGCAGACCGTCGACAGCAAGCTCATTCGGCGTACTAGCTTCGCAAAGGCAACTCTCGTGGAAAACTTGTCCACTCGGGCTGTGTCTGATGGCCCGACAAAGGAACACAGCGAACAGGGCCGTGTCAAGGTAGACGTGTACTTACAGTATGTCAAGGCAGCATCAAAGTCGGGTTTCGTGCTCTTCGTCTTGTCTACGATCGGATCCCAGCTGACTTCCGTGGCCGGAAACAACACTCTGCGGGCGTGGGGAGAACACAACCTGCAAGCTGGATCAAACCGAGACGCTTGGAAATACTTGTTTGGATATGGGCTGTATGCTTTTGTGTCCACACTGTTGGGGACATCTGCGGCGATTTTCATTTGGGTACTGTGCTCTGTACGCAGTTCGAAGCTTTTGCATGATTCAGTAGGTCGAAGTCCGGTTTGGATCCTTGCTTGTACTTACTCTTCGTAGATGTTGCATTCGGTCATGCGCGCCCCCTTGAGCTTCTTTGAGCTCACACCTACGGGACGGTAAGCTCGCCATGTTCCATACACCCTGAAAAAGCGGACATTGACACAGTTATAGAATTTTGAATCTCTTCTCGCGTGATACCTACGTGGTCGATCAGATTATTGCAAGAGTCAGTGGTTAGCACTTGAATGATACATCACAGTTACTAATCTGTGCGTTCGAAGGTTGTCCAAAACACGGTCCGCACAACATGCGTCACCGCCATGATTGTGGTTGTCATCGGGTATAGCTTTCCCCTCTTCGTAAGACAATTCTCTTTTTGTCGACCGCCCTTTCTCACAAATGTACTAGTTGGTTGCCGTACCTCCACTAGCATGGTTTTATATGAGGGTCATGGTGTAAGTGCGACCGAACACGTTGTCATTGTTGTTTTCTGATCATGTGGTACAGCTACTATCTCTCGACGTCCCGCGAGTTGAAACGTTTTGATGCTGTGTCACGGTCACCCATTTTCGCGTGGTTCTCCGAATCGCTGAATGGTCTCTCGACAATTCGCGCGTTCAATCAGCAGCAAGTGTTTATTATGAACAATGAAAATCGCGTTGACCGCAATCAGATATGTTATCTTCCAAGGTATGCTGGAAGTTGTGTTAGCCTCACCTTATCTTCACTCACGAGTTTACTGCAGTATTTCTGTTAATCGTTGGCTCGCTGTTCGGCTCGAATTTGTTGGGGCGACCATCATTTTCCTTGCAGCAAGTTTGGCTCTTGTTGCGCTTATCACGACTGGAGTGGATGCAGGTCTCGTCGGTTTTGTCCTCTCTTATGCTCTGAATACGACAGGGTCCTTGGTAAGAGCGCAGTCATGTGGTGTTGGGACCGCATCTCATCTATCTGACATGTACAGAATTGGCTCGTGCGTTCTGCCAGCGAAGTTGAACAAAACATTGTCAGTGTTGAGCGGATTCTTCATTACATTGAGCTCCAGCCCGAGGCTCCTGCCGAAGTACTCGGCGTTGTGCCCGAGAGCTGGCCGTCCAAAGGAGAGATTGAATTCCGGTGTGTTGTACTAATCCCGGATAACAAATATGCATGCTGACCTCTTGGTAGTCAGTATTGCGCTAGATATCGCCCTGAACTTGATTTAGCATTAAGAGATATTTCTATTAAGATTGTAATCATAATCCATCTTTCATGTTTCACGCCTCAAAGCTAATTTTTCTTGTAGAATCATAGAGAGAAGATCGGAATCTGTGGTAGAACGGGATCCGGGAAGTCAACGGTACGTACCAGAGTGGTCGTTATTTTATGTGTTTGATTCATCCAATTTCTTCAGCTCCTATTGACATTATTCCGTATAATCGAACCGGCATCGGGCACTATTTTCATTGATGGCGTCGATATCACAAAAGTGGGTTTACATGATCGTACGTTCAAAAGGCCATTATGAAGGGGGAGACTAGGACTGAACATCTTCACAGTGCGCTCCGCTATCTCCATTGTTCCCCAGAGTCCGGATTTGTTCGAGGGTACGATCCGCGAAAATGTGGATCCCACGGGAGAGCACCAAGATGCGGATCTTTGGGTAGCCCTCGGACAGGTGTGTAGCCGGATAACCGTATTTCTTCGCACGTTAAATAGCGTACTTACTGACTGACCCCGGATAGGCACATCTCAGAGCATTCATAGAATCTTTGCCTGGGGGACTTGATGCTCCTGTCAGGGAAGGAGGATCATCGATGTCTGCTGGGCAGCGACAGCTCCTGTGCTTCGCACGAGCTCTTCTGCGCAAGGCATGTTGCTCACTCAGTCTCACGTCCTACTTTATCTGATTGTCGTTTATTGTGAAGTCTAAAATACTGGTTCTCGACGAAGGTGAGGATGCGTTCTGTGTCTTATTGCAGAGCTTTTGCTCAAGCTTTGATCAATAGCTACGTCTGCAGTCGATCTTGACACGGACAAGGCTATTCAAGAAATCATCCGTGGCCCTCTGTTTGCAGATGTTACCATGCTCACCATTGCGTATGTAGTGTCAAATGAATCTCCTTACGGTTTCTAACATCGATTGTACGAATAGACATCGGATTAACACAATCATGGAATCTGACCGTGTTCTTGTTCTGAACGCAGGACAGGTGCGATCTAGTCCTTTACGAAATGTTGCGTATCTCACGCCTTTTGGTGCAGGTGTTGGAATTCGATTCTCCACAAAACTTGCTCGCGAACAAGGATTCGTCGTTCTATTCCTTGGCAGCCGAGGCGGGGCTTGCGTGAAGATAGGCCACATGAGCATACTTTGCGTGTGCGACGCATGACGCTTCCGCGACCTATATCCCTATCCTACTATAGGCTGTTCCCGGAAGGTAATGGTTTACCCCGACCAATGTGGCGCGTGTATATACCCATGACTACTTATGATGGTAGCAATTAGAAAATAGACGAATGGTTGAAATCGGATGAATCTTGTGGTTTTCTCGCTGGTGAAAGTCTATACACATCGCCTTCAGCTTAACCAATGGAAAAGAAGGATCACCTGGTATGGGCACCATTGCCTATGACCCCGTTTCATATAAGTACTTCTTGCTTCATAATAGACGGCTTCATAATGTCGTCGCCATGAGTTGTGATTGCATCGATCCACTGATCACCCGACATTTAAGTGGTATGTCCAGTGCGTGCGCCCAAAACTTCCGCGTGTAATTCTACCACAGGGTCTCAGTGTCTCTGAAGCGTGAACGGTGCTTCAAGGTAGGGATTCGTCAGCGAGAGCGCGGGTCATTGGAGTCACAGAAGGTTGTTGCCAAAATATGATATCAGCTCTGTAACTCAGCTGCCTCTCCTGTTGGTTTCATTTTTGGGGTATATAATTCCCATCATTTCAATCTCCTTCTATCATGATCGTCCGACTAACTATTTTTCCACCTATCCTAGCAAGTTTGTCGCCGCGTTCTCGCGGACGCCGTTAACGGCGGCGAGTGGCGCAAATGCGGCACACGTGACCGCGTTCTAGCGCGTCTCCCCGACGAAAGCCCGTCTCGACTCTCGAGAAGGTCACGACATGGGTCTGCACCTTCTGATCCATACAACCTCAAGGCTGAGGAGGTTTTGGTTACGGAACGTCGGAACATGTTGGTTCCACGATGATGGACCCGTTTTCGGGGCTCCGCACCGACCCTGCATCGAGGTCCCAAGATCACGACTTCAATTCTACCGCACTCGGCGTTCGTCACGGTATGTACCTCATTGTCATATTTTCTCCTCTTCACTCGGTTTTGAAAGGGAAAATACTCTGCTCTGATCACCAACCACGTTGCAAGACTCGATAACGAAACCGTCACAAGACACCCGGCATCATACCCTCACATACTGCGAGCACACATCCGAACACAATTCACCGCGCCGTGGGTCAGCTGCCATCGAAGCGGCCCGTAAGTGCAGTTTCTGAGGACTGTGAACGTTTGTCTCCATGATTAAGCTAAGTCGGGGACCTTATTATCCCGTCCGGAGAACATGCCCCAGTCATCAGCGTCGAAGCAAGCGGACGCGCTACAAGCTATAAATTGGTCGGCGAGGCGACAGCGTTTCGACGACAGCTGCTGACGGATTTGTGGTCGACCCTTCTGCCTGGCTGTCGTCGCCATGTCTATCCTCCTAGCGCTCTCATGTCTGGCGTTGGCCGGTCCTGCCATTGCAGCCTTCCCTGATTGTACCACTGGGCCACTCGCGAACAATACTGTCTGCGATACCTCTGCCAGTCCTGTCGCCCGTGCAACGGCTTTGATCGGCCTCTTCACACTAGAAGAGAAAATAAATAACACCGGGAATACTAGCCCCGGTGTTCCTCGACTAGGGCTACCTGCATACCAGTAAGCTGCACGTAGAACTTTGTGCCCTCTTCTCTTATATTTACAATGGTAGATGGTGGCAGGAGGCTCTGCACGGTGTCGCCGAATCACCTGGTGTTATTTTTGCTGAAACTGGGGAGTACAGCTACGCGACGTCATTCCCTCAGCCCATCCTAATGGGCGCCGCTTTTGACGATGAACTGATCAACCAAGTCGCAACAATCGTCAGCACGGAGGCTCGTGCCTTCAACAACGCCAACCGCTCCGGGGTGAGTCCATTCAGTACAATTGGCATGTGTGAAATGAATAGTGATCTGTTGACTCGTAGCTCGATTTCTGGACGCCCAATATTAATCCTTTCAAAGATCCGCGATGGGGCCGAGGTATTCAGATTTTGTTCGTGCTGCAGATCGCTGGAACTTACTTGATATAGGCCAGGAGACCCCCGGAGAGGACCCATTCCACCTGCAATCATACGTTTACAATCTGATTACAGGTCTGCAAGGCGGGTTGGACCCCGAGTACAAGCGCATTGTTGCAACTTGCAAACACTACGCGGGTTACGATCTTGAGAACTGGGAAGGCAATGTTCGTTATGGGTTTGACGCGCTTATTTCGATTCAAGACCTCTCCGAATTCTACACTCGGTCCTTCGAGACATGCGCTCGCGATGCCAACGTCGGTGCCTTCATGTGCTCCTACAACGCTGTCAACGGTGTTCCATCATGCGCTAACTCTTATCTCCTGCAAGATATCCTCCGCGGCCACTGGAACTGGACAAGCGACGACCAATGGATCACCTCCGATTGCGATGCGATCCAGAACATCTACGAGCCGCACTATTACGCACCGACACGCGAGCTGACTGTCGCGGATGCTTTGAACGCTGGTGCGGATCTTGACTGTGGAACATATTACCCTGAAAACCTCGGGGCAGCATATGATGAGGGTCTCTTTGCGGAGTCTACCCTAGACCGCGCGCTCATCCGACAATACGCGTCGTTGGTCAAGCTTGGGTATTTCGATCCCGCCGAAAATCAGCCATATCGTCAGATCGGTTGGGCCAACGTGAGCACCCCCGAAGCAGAAGAGCTAGCATACCGGGCCGCCGTTGAGGGCATCACGCTCATTAAGAACGATGGCACGCTTCCGCTTTCCCCGTCGATCAAATCTCTTGCCCTCATCGGTCCATGGGCAAATGCCACGACCCAGATGCAGGGTAACTACTATGGCCAGCCTCCTTACCTGATCAGCCCTTTAATGGCGGCCGAAGCGCTCAACTACACTGTCTATTACTCTCCTGGACCCGGTGTAGACGATCCGACTACGAGCTCCTTCCCTGCAGCATTCGCTGCGGCTCAGGCTGCAGACGCTATCATCTACATCGGTGGCATTGACACAACCGTCGAGGCTGAAGCCATGGACCGCTACACCCTCGACTGGCCCGGCGTCCAGCCCGATTTCATCGACCAGCTGTCCCAGTTTGGAAAGCCGCTCGTCGTGCTGCAGATGGGTGGTGGTCAGGTCGACGACTCGTGCTTGCTGCCCAACACCAACGTGAATGCCCTCATCTGGGGTGGTTATCCTGGCCAAAGCGGCGGCACGGCGCTCATGGACATCATCGTCGGAAACGCCGCGCCTGCGGGCCGTCTTCCCACCACGCAGTATCCCCTTGATTACGTCTACCAGGTCGCAATGACAGACATGTCCCTGCGTCCAAGCGCGACAAACCCCGGACGCACGTACATGTGGTACACGGGCACCCCGATTGTCGAGTTCGGGTTCGGCCTGCATTATACCAACTTCTCTGCGGAGTTGTCCCAGCCTTCGGCCCCATCGTATGATATCGCCTCGCTGGTTGGCGCGTGCGAGGGCGTCGCACACCTCGATCTCTGCGCGTTCGAGTCGTACACAGTGAACGTGACGAACATCGGCAGCAAGGTCACCTCGGACTACGTTGCGCTGCTCTTCGTCGCGGGCGAGCACGGACCCGCGCCCATTCCGAATAAAGTGTTGGCGGCATACGACCGCCTTCACACTATTGCCCCTTTGTCGAGTCAGCAGGCGACGCTGAACTTGACCCTCGGCTCGCTGTCGCGCGTCGACGAGTATGGAAACAGGGTCTTGTATCCAGGAGAGTATACACTCATCTTGGATGTCCTTCCGCAGGCTACCGTTAGTTTCACGCTGACAGGAGAGGAAGCATACCTCGATTACTGGCCGCAGCCGCCGGCGTGAGGCTAGACTCGGAGATAGGGAGTATGTAAAATGACCGGAAAAGGATCGGTTTTAGATTCATGAGTATTCACGCTTGGACGTATACGACTGTCAAGGTTTTTAGTGATTGTAATCCAAAACATAAGTCCATTGAACGGACGCCCAGGGTCGCGCAGAGCGCGTCGCGATCGGATATTGCTATCACGTGGGCGCATATATCGGCATCTCAATGGTATCATTGCGTCAAAATTGCATGGGAATGCTTATGTTGAACCTGCTCCCGCCCCTCAGATTCACTGCTCCAGCTAGACGGCTTGCTTTAATATCGGCACTTCGGTCTCATCGTTTCCATACCACCTCGCGAATAATGAGCGATCCAAGCAAGATCAAATCAGACAGTGAATGGAGAGCCATTTTGTCTCCAGAACAAGTACGAAGCAGTATAATCCGATGTTAGGTTTTGCTTTAGTTGACGTCTCCAACTTTTAGTTCCGCATACTGCGCCAGAAAGGGACGGAGCCTGCAGGAACCGGCAAGTACGAGCACTCGAAAGATCAAGGTGTATTTACCTGTACCGGATGCGGAACCCCTCTTTACAAGAGCAGTACCAAATTCGACAGCGGGTGTGGCTGGCCCGCTTTCTTTGATGGTGAGTGCGCTGACTTCACCGATAGCAGTACGCCCTCATTATTTGATATCCGACCTCCAGCCATACCTGGAGCAGTGTCACGCCACGAAGATCGCTCGTTTGGAATGTCCCGCATCGAGATTACATGTACGGCTTGCGGAGGACATCTCGGGCATGTGTTCAAGGGCGAAGGGTTCAGAACCCCAAGTAGGTTGTGATCTGTGTATTGGCCATACTTCATTCTGATTTTGGGTGATTGTACAGCGGACGAGCGTCATTGCGTCAATTCGGTCTCGCTCAATTTTGTTGAGGATAACAAAGTTTAAATATGAGGAATTGATTTTCAGACACGGAGGGACTCCTGTATCGAGCTCAGAATTTTGTATTGCTCTCCCATGTATTTGCAGTCTGACTTGTATAATAGCTCATTGGTCCTATAATAGCTTCATTTGGATGGAGAGTATACATTCACATGCCTACCGCAGCAGGTGCATCGCTCTCAAGTAGATAGATGTTCGAGTTATCGGTACGTCACCACCATCGAGTCAAGCTGCACGGCAGACTTTTAGGTTTGATTGAGTCATGAATATCGTATGCAGATAGCAAAGAGAAAGCCCAAGTTGTAGTGTAGCGAGTAGGACGGTGATTGAAGTCGCAAGTCGACGGGAGAGGTGTATTGTACAAGAAGCATATATATCTCAGAGTCCTTCCATGTTGGCAACCAGATCGTCCAACTCGGCTTTGGACTCGCGGTATTTCGTTTGTGCTTCCTGGATGAGTGGATACAGTGTAAGTTATGTGGACGATGACAATATATATCGTCACGGACCTCGTATTTCTTCTCCCACTGGTCTCGTTCCTGCTCGAGACGCTGAACCTGTCGCTCGAAGTGCTCCGCCTTGACATCAACCTGCCTCAACCTATGCATAACACGGTTAGCCAAATCACACAGCACCGGATCAATCAAGACACACTTCTCCATGGCATCTTTCAGGTTCTTGTCTGCCGCATCAAGCTCCTCCTCAAGTAGTTGGATCTTTCTTTGCAAGCCCTCGTTGATCGTCTTGCTTTGATCGCCCTCTTCCTGAGCAGTCTTTGCGGCGGCGAGCTTGTTCTCGGCCTTCTCAAGATCGCCGTCCATCACAGACAACTTGTGCTGCAGAGAGGTGATCTCCTGGTCTTTCTCAAGCAGAACCTGCTCCATCTTCTTGTTCTTTGCCTCTGCCTCCTCCGCACGAGCAACGGCATTGTCGGCTTCTTGACGAAGGGCTGTGAGACGCTGTGAAGGCCAGGTAAACGCGTCTACGCGCGTGACAAGATGATTGAGCTGTATATTCACCTCCTTAATTCTCTCCATGATGATATAGCGTTCGTCGGTCAAGCAAACGTATGTTCGAGTGGCTGTTCAAAGATTCCTGCGCAGGGCTGTTATAGATAAGTGTATCAGTCGTGGGAATATTCCCATTTCTGGTATTTTAGAACACGTGAAGGTAAGGCGTAAGGCAGCCAAAGTCAGCGATCGTCCAGCCCGAACTCTTGTCCAGACCCCTTCCTCCCGAGCAGCGCGAGGCTTGATTCTCCTTTCGCGTATACGTAGAGCAAGACGGCGCCAGCATCTTCACTAAGCTGAACACAACGCTGAATACTCGAGGCCGGAATGGCGGCACCTGTGGCTCAGGAAGGTGCGTTGAGCTGCTACCCGTGCTTCATGGTGCTGATCACTGCGTGGTTCGGCATCGAGCAGAACTACCCATCCTTGAGGCGGTGATCAAGTATGTGGTGCCACCCACTCGCGACGGACATGAGTTTGAACGGGATCGTCCATTCTCCTTTGTAGCATCCGAAACCGCCTTACCGCTCTAAAGAAAGACAGAGGGGAGTATATAAAGTCATCGGACGTGAACGCGCTTTACCAAGCTATTGTTAAACAAGGTCAGTCTTTTTGCGAGCTGCATCGTATAATAAAGACTCGGCAGCGAGCATGGAAAGCCTTATTAGCAGCTGACACTGTCGCTCCACTGCATACAGTGACCCGTCTGAACGAAGTCCGCGATGACCATACAACATACAACAACCGCCTCGACACGACACTCGCGGACGTCTTCAATCTTCTATCTCTGTTCTTCCTCACTATCGGGAAGACGAGGGAATGTCCGGCTACGTACAGCCAGATTGCCAGTATGCGGGTGAGTCATTAGGGATGTACGATTCGCGTTCCGCATCTCCTCCGTTCCGCGTCATTTCGGCGGTTTTTAGCTTCATCATTATACCGAATATGGTTGGGCGCGATTCATGGAGGATATGAACAGTGGGCCCGCTGTGGCCTCTTTGTTACGTCCGGACATCTCGGAGTCACTTATATGGTCCAGGCGACATGAACAGCAGCTGTTCATGTAAGCCCCACCCTTTTTCCTGCCCGCGATCTATTACAGCGGAGACTATTTCAGCTGCGGCGTGATTATTACGACTTTGAGCCGAGTTGAACGCAAGAGATCGTCGGTAACTAATTATGGGTTCGGACCTCCCCGTTTGTCCCATACAAGGAAGGATGATAGGATTGTAACCTGGCATCCTTCCTTGTCGGCTAGTCGCCGGCAGGATTGGACCGAAAAAGTGGAGACACGCTACGACATTGTGATAGGCGGAAGCTATTCCATGTTATCGGGACTTTGACTTGTCTCGCATCCCAACCTCGACCCTTACGCGACCCAGTATAAATGCTTCGTGTGGCCCGCGATCCGGGACATCTGGACCGGCCACTTCTCTTTGTTGTGAGACGATACCCCCAGACATTGCTGCCATGCCCGTACGCTCCGTGCCGACGTCTGATTATACCCTCTCACAGCAAATACTCGAGCATATGGATGAATCAGGCGTCTACAACGAGTCCGACCTAGCTCCTTTCCACCGACGGCTATCGGAATTACGGTGCGTGTCGGTGTTCAGCTTCGGCTTCTCCAAGTACAGACAGAACCATGATCTATTGAAATGCGAATGACGACGATAGGTAGGGTGTGGACGATAGAGTCCAACTATTTCTTGTGTCGGATGAAATGAGTAGCCTTGTAGCACCCTCTAGTGCATTTTGATCCCGTCCGACTGGTTGCTGATTACTGAATGTAGTGGAATCGTGCGCAGCGATGCAGAGAGTGGAAAACATCCGGTAGCAATGACGAAATTGCTAGAACGACAGCTAAATGAATGCGGTTAGTGTTCTCGCATCTTGTCCCGCTCTTGACTGCATCGAGGGACAACCCAGTGCTGCATTATCATGCAACTTGACCTGGATGAGCTCCTTTATTCAACTGACACTGCTATACACAGACAGCGTCCTTCATCGCTTGCAGGACTCGCTTGCAGTTCTCTCTCCAGAACTTGTTCCGATACACGAGCGGTTGGTTAGCATACGGCGGCAGCTGGTCGCCCTCGCTGCAAAGGAGACAGCTAGGGAGGCGGCGAATGCCAACGCATTTGTTGTGAAGACGGCAAATACGTTCCCTATGAGAGTGCCATCAAAGGAGTCTACGCCGCCGAGAGACGACGCCTCGTCGGGATACGAATCGGCACCTGGCAGCGATGCCGAAGCCAGAACGCCAACAAAGGAGACAACATCCAAAGGCGAAGGCTCAAAGGAAAAGGATGGTCTCAAAGTGAAGGCGGAACTGAAGGCGCTGCAAGAAGAGTTGCGCAAGATTGATTCGTTGAGTGTGCTTTTCGATCGTGACTCTGAATTGACCGTTGACATGGTTAGCGCCCCTTCGTCCTTGACTGTCACATCTCGTCGCGCTGTTCTTCCTGTATCTTGTGTGACGCACTCTTGTAACCCTATGATTGTCGAATACACTATTCGTCGATCGCTCTCTCAGGAAGCGTGTGGATGGCAAGTTCCTGGGGCCAGGGGGCATGGTGCCTGCGTCGCAAGCAGTATGCTCGTCGCTGCTTGAGGAATGTTTTGAGATCGCGCAGGAGATCCGTGCGCAGGACGACTCTAAACATGTTGCGTCGTCCCTCAAACCTATCTACGACAGGCTGAGCGAGATCAGGAGAGAACTGGAGCAGTTGGTGCGTCGTCTCGGTCTGCGGTACCAGGCGTGGGACGCTCATGTGGGAGATTCCTAGGTCATGACGCATCGGTGGAGTCTCCGCGAGACGGATTTGTGGAACTACAGTCTCAGTCTACAGGAGATCGACAAGATGCGGGTGGACGGGAAGTTTGTCGACTTGGACGGTAACCGGCCGTCAGGCCAATATGTGGGTGCCAACTACTGCTGTATGTCTCCCAAATCTCATTGACGTGTCTCAAGGTGTTGCTGTATCTTCTCAGACGATGTTATGGCCTTATCTACCGGCTGCTATCGTCTAGTGAACCCGTATCGGAGGAGCTGATGCCTATCGTCAGTGGTTGTTCTGCTACTCGTGATAAACGTCAGTCAGACTCACCTGCCGCGATCTCCATAGGCGAACAAGCTATCGACGGTGAAGAAATGCCTGAACGAAGTGCTCAAATACGGTGGCCCGTTCTCGCCGCGAGACCTGTATCCTGTGCGTGGTTCGCAGATTGTGTTTTGTGCCCGGATCGGGTCTTCGCCTGCGTCCCCGTGGGGGAAGTGGGCTCACGATGACTGACGATGTGCGGACTGTAGTACCAGCTTGCGCTTTATCAAATTGATTCGATGCGGAAGGACGGCAAGTTTGTCGGCGTGGACGGATCGATTCCGGAGGGACAGGGTATCGTCATGGCGCATCTGAACGAGTGTCATGAGCTATTAGAAATGGTGCGTGTGCAGTCGATGGTCGCGCAGCGGTCCGTGTCACGGGGCGCTGATAATGCTTTTGTAACAGCTGAGAGAGTCGATGGAGGGGGCTGAGGATGTAGGATTTGAAGACGGAGAGGATGAGTACATATTTGACGACGAGTCGGGGGAGGAGGATTAAGGCTGGTACGTAGGCGCGATCGAGGCTATCAACTGATGTAGGTTGGCCTCGCTGATGAATTAGATTTTTTGCTCTGATTTGGTGGCGCGGAGTATCCCATTGCTGCCGGGCATCATCTGCCTGTGTCGGAGCTCTATGGGCGTTATCCCGCTTAGCAAGCTGCCCCAAGTGGAAGGTGAGATGACGAGTGTCTATGACACATGCCTCCCCCGTCATGAACCGTTTCCTTCGGATGCCTCCCATGTATTATCCGCTTTAGCAGCGAAGCACTACGCAGTGAACTTGGACGATGGCTGGCCACTGGCTGTATCCTCATGGTATGGGAAGTGAGTTGTGGCAGCTGGTTGAAGTCAGCGCAATGCTCTCTTGGCGTCCCGGAAGTGCTCCGTCTGCGGGCCATTCAAATACTTGATGGGTCCATAGCCATCTTAATGACTTGTACCCAATCCGTCAGCAAGAATGCGTATAGTACTTAAGTAGAAACTGTCGTACCCCGTCTTCCACCTCACTGTCGCTCGCCTCCGCTCACATGTCTGGCCAACCTTCAACATCGCGTCCAACGACGAGCGCATCCAGCACAGTCTCGGCTGCCGAGACCGTTCATGCTGACGCTCTTGCAGACACCATGCAGCCTGTCCCCAGCCTGTTTCGCGGTGGAGAGGGCGAGTCTGCCATACCCGAGGACAAGAAGGTATGTTTTCTGCGACTACCTATGCTCTTCGTTCGTGTGCTGATGCCGCATACGTATGTATTCGAAGGAGGAGGCACTCGAGAATGCGGAGGATGACTGGGCCCACGATCCCGCGAATCCGCGCAATTGGACTCTTGGAAAGAAATGGACGACTGTTGCTATTGTATGTTCTCGTACTCTGCCTTCTTCTACACTGGCACACCGCTGACCATGAACAGATTTCGTTCTACACGTTTGTCACGCCGCTCGCAAGTTCCATGATGGCTCCTGGTCTGCCCCAGATTGCTGAACACTACAACATCAGCAGTCCGACAACCCAGAACCTCACGCTCAGTGTCTTCTTGCTTACTTTCGCCATCGGCCCTCTCTTCTTCGGCCCGTTGTCTGAGATGTATGGGCGCACATGGGTGTGTACACCATAACACTACATCATCTTTGCACCATACTCATTCAGCAATAGGTGTACCACATCACGAACCTGCTCTTCCTCGCTTTCAATTTTGGCTGCGCATATTCTACATCCGTTGGCGCACTCATTGGGTTCCGTGTGCTCGGTACGTCTTCATTTCTCCACCAGCGTGACCCCGCTTGACGCCCCTCAGCCGGATTTGTTGGTAGTGCACCCGTCACGCTTGGCGGCGGCAGCGTTGCCGATGTTTTCTCAGAGCACGACCGCGCGTCTGCGATGGCAGTCTTCACGATGGGCCCGCTCATCGGTCCCGTTGTGGGCCCAATCGCGGGTGGCTTTATCACGGAGACGATCGGTTTCAAGTACGTGTTCGTCGTAATTGGCGCACTTTGCGCTGTCGCCGCGGTTTGTGGTATTCCCTTCCTCCAGGAGACGTACGCGCCCATCATCCGCCTGCGCCTCGCGCGCCGCGCAGGCGACCCCGAAAAAGCGGCGCAGATGCACCCGCACCTCCTTAAGGAGCATAGCAACAACTTCCATCGCCTATGGGTCGACATGAGGCGGCCGTTCATCCTGCTCACCAGGAGTTATGTGTGCTTCTTGCTCAGTTTGTACATGGCCCTGTGAGTTTCCTCTGTAACTCCTGGTCTGCTATGACTGAGCTACTATTTTAGGATGTACGGTCAGTGCAGAATGCGACAGCCGAGAGCCGTTTCTAGGATATTGACTCGCTAATCCCTCAGGGATATACTACCTCATGTTCACCACGTTCCCTCGTACGAACCATCTTTTCCGTAACATTTCACCGCTCGCTCACCGTTCTCCGCCGTAGTGCTGTTCGCGGGAGTGTACCATTTCAGCACCGGGATCAGTGGCCTCGCCTACATCGGGCTCGGCCTCGGCTTCATGGTGGCCACCGTGATCGGAGCGAGCGTTGCAGACAAAATCTACAAATCCGTGCGTAGCCTCCCCGCTCCCACACTCATCGGCGCAGCGTCTGACCTCATCCCATGTTCCATATCAGCTCGCATCCAAGAACGGTGGAGTCGGCAAGCCCGAAATGCGCATCCCCGCGCTCATCTTCGGGTCGCTCTTCGTGCCCATCGGTCTCTTGTACGCCGCCTGCTCCATTACGTCGCCGTCCACGCACTGACGCTCGCTTCCAGCTGGTATGGCTGGTCTGCACAGGCCGCTACCCACTGGATCATGCCCGTCATTGGCTCCGGCATCTTTGGGTTCGGGATGATGACCACATAGTACGCGCCTCCTCTCGCGTTTGCGTGCCGCATGCTCACCCACGCATCAGCTTGCCCATCCAACTCTACCTCGTCGACACGTTCCAGTACGCCGCAAGCGCGCTCGCCGCTGCCTCAGTATGTTCCCTCTCACTTTGCCCTTGTGCCCGCTGACCCCCCGCGCGCACAGGTCTTCCGCTCGTTGCTCGGCTTCGCCTTCCCCCTCTTCGGCGTGCAGATGTTCGCCGCCCTCGGATATGGCGGCGGCAACTCGCTCCTCGCGGGGCTCGGAATTGTCATCGGTATACCATTCCCGATCTGGTTGTGGTTCGCCGGCGAGCGCATCCGCGCCAACTCGGCCCTCTCGCGCTGATTCGCCCATGCCACCTTAGCTATGCACTACTCTACTCTACTACGTCACAGTCCTTTCCAGTGCGCTCGTGCCATAATCGTTATTCTCATGCGCCTCCTACGCCTGGTCTGACTCATGGTGTTCTGTCCGTAAGCCGAACGAGTGGCACATGGGGCCGGAGAGAGCGAGTCTGTGCGCGTGAGGGGGCTGTCGGCGCTGGTGCGGATCAGGAATGAGCCAGCAGGCTCGGGGTATTAGTTTGAGTCTAGGGCTTTGTATCGATACCAGTTTCTTCCACATATCACGTAAGTAAGCAGACAACATACAGTAGACATGTTCCAGGACACGTGTAGTACCACTAGAGCTTGAAAATGCGGCGCTTGGAAGTTGGCGCAATGTTGTCCGGCTCGAGATCTCTGACGTAGCAGCTTGAACCAGATCATGGACGCGTACCAGCAGGCGATATGGATGTCCGTCAGTGTTGAAATTACCACAATCAGTTCCTTCTGAGAGGGAGGAATATCATCGCCTGTGGAAACAGTGACTTGTGGAACGGTCTGAACGCGCTCGCAAGAAAAGGGAGTACATAGGCTGGTGAGCGTAGCTAGCCTCGATCACCACTCTTAAACTATGTGGCGGAAACTCGCACGCGAATTTGCCGCATGATTGGCCCGTTTTGCCGTCTCTTCGTTTCTTTAAATTTTTGTCTGCAGACTCGAATACCAACAGGGATTATGGACGTTGAAAACAGAACTCTTTTCGCTCCTCGTTCTATGGCCTATACGTATGAACAGCCTCAGTCGAGTGAGCACAAGCGCAGATATCTTCGGACTAGGATCCTGTACGACCATCCTATTATTACCTGGCGCTCAAGCGACCACTATGCGTGCACTTCATTCAAAAAATTACACTCGCGCTAGATTCAGAGCCTAGAGGTCCCGGCGACGAGCTGTGAGGCGAGTTACAATATGCGGCTTTCAGTGCGCGTGCTAACATTGCACATAGGTAGGTCGTGTAGTCCCAATGTACGTGCACCTGAATGCATGAGTACTCAGGCCTCTTTTTTAAGAAAAAAACTTCTGCTTTATACTCCGTACCTAGAGATACATGCAGAGTGGTCCGAATCTGTCTACTGGAATATCACTGGAGCGGTAAGCACTCTTCGCCGTAAGGCCCCGAAATTCCCCTTGTCATTGAGTGAAAAACGTCGGCGCCTGGTCAGTTGTGTCCCCCAGGCACGCTGGAGCAGGGTAGCGTTCGGGATCATCCCTTCACGCTATCTGTACTGCTACCTCGTCGGCGTGGTATTGGGACTGGAAAATCGCGGAAACCGGCCGTTCCTGGAATCGTCTTCTCTGGGACGACGCAGTGCTCCCTGCAATATGTACGGACTCAACGCGTTAACCCTATACAACGTGTGAACACACAGCAGCGCGTTGGCTACCGACGAATCGTCGCCAGCCTCCCGATCCGTAGCGGCCTGGGCAAGTACCTCCGTCCATTCGAACGTAGCCACCATAGGGTTAAGGCGCAGGCAAATGAGAACATCGTCCTCCGTCCAGCCTCGTTGCCGACGCACCTGAGCTTGCCTCAAGTCATCGGGCGCATAATTCTGCACAAGGCCTGGCTTGTGGCAAAGCCACATCGGGCACTCGAACGGTGTGTGATCTCTATCAGAATTCCAGAGCATGGGCAATTGCGCGGGTTCGGTATGTGGTACTCGTTCCAATGGGAACCGTTAGGTAAGTGGTCCGTCAACACTCTGCACGCTCGAGCCATCTCCTGGCACTCGGGCCTCAGGTCTTTCGAGCTCTTGCGGTGCGTCCCACTTTCCATCTTCTTGCAGCTTTGTCTGATGTGGGAAATAGAACTTCGAGACAAGGGGAGCAGATGCAAAAGTCTTGAAGAAAGTTCAGCAGTCAATTTCATGTTTGGACGACACCTCCCGCAAAGGTGATGAACTGCCAACAAACAGAGTTTAACTGTACCGTATCAGTTGATGCACATGCATACATGTACATCTTTCAACTACACAGTAGTCCATGGGTATGGGCTGTTGTGACATCTTGCATGGTAATTTCAGCTGTCACTGCAGCATGATTCAATCACACAATCATGCTAAACATATTCATAATTTCAAAATCTCTATCGGCATCCAAGTTATCATGTGTCATGATTCATCAACGTCATGAGATATAACTAAGGATGAAATTATGAGGCTATCCACTCCGTGGATGTCGTAGTAATCTCACGATAGCTGAGTGAACTTGGCCGTCACAGTAGCATGACTTAATGCTGATTGATACAGGGATCGAATTAGACTTACAGTGGAACGCGGCGTCCGTTCGCCATGTGCCACTCTCTGTCTCTGTCCCCTCCACATACCAACCGGATTGTACTAGCATTTAAACACACGAACGGACTACAGCGACCTAGGCAGGCTGGCAGTAATGAGGACCAAGACAGCTTCTGTGGCAGAAAGAGGACACGGTCCACCAGACAGGCCGTGTTCGAATCAAGATGGCCCTGTCATCACATGAAAGCTACTACGAAGAAGATGGCTCACACCATATACATATAAGGGGGTTTGCGAGCTTTAGTTACGAAGCTTTGTTTCGACGTGCTCCCCATGAATCTTGCGAGTGCCACGTCTCACCTTCGTAAAATCAGACCAGATCCAAGATGTCCGCCATCGCCCCACCATCTATTGAAGAGATTCTGGGCGGCTTTACAGTCGGCATAGATATTGCTGTACTGTACGTTCCTACTGCATCCTACCTCAGCTTCTCCTGGCTTACTCACAATACCCTGGTCTCCAGTCTGTACGGGATTGTCACCGCACAGGTATACTTCTACTGGTGGACATCGCAGGACGACCCAAGATTACTTCGCACATTAGTTGCATCTGTATGGTAAGATCGTCAGCTTCAACCGCAAAACATATTGTCTGATCATTAAAGTCGTTTGAAGGTGTTTAGAGTCTTTGCACACAGCATTCTGTATACATGTCAATTATCACTACACAATCACCGACTTTGGGAACCTTGAAGATGTTCTTCGTGTCGTTTGGTAAGTCCCCCTTTTTTCTTCTGGTTCCACGAATTCATACTTGACATTCTCCTCAGGGATAACGGTGTAAGTTCTGAATTTTACATCCGCCTCGTTTCAAGAAAGTAATCAGCATTTGGAATGCAGGCTACATTAATTGCAGGGGTAAGATTCCTGTAATTTGATTAGCTTCACTGCGTACTCAATGATTGACTCCAAGCGCAGGCCATGATCGCAGGCTTGGTTCAGAGGTACGAGTTCTACGTGTTTCCTAGCGGTGTCTCATAATTTATCCACTCAGCTTTTTCATCTGGCGAATCTGGATATGTGTGTCAATTATCGCATATATTATACATATTTACTGATGATATCAATCTGTGTTCGCAGTGAGTAGAAGGTCTGTTGTACTAGTCTTCACACTGGTGAGCTCTCTTTTCAAGGTTTAGAATGATTGGGGATAAACATCGCGAAGGCAGTCTTGCTCTTCTTGCGCGTCGGTCTGTGGTAATTACTGCTATCTTGGCCGAGAAACTAACCAATCCTGCATTGGTGTTTGTGATCGGTACGAGCATAATCATCCGCCACGTTCCACTTCCTGATCTTGATTATGGCCTTTGTTATAGCAACCGGGGGTTTATTGTACGTCACATCCTATTCCTTCTTTGCTTCATCATCTTTGGCTCAATTTCATCAGATGGAAACCCCAAACTTGGCTCGACTTCAGAGCATCCCGTGCAGATCTAGTGTGTTGTTCAGTTGGATACCCATATCAAAGAAGCTGTTGACAATTATCCTGTCCTCACTGCAGATCACGTCCACACTTGGCCTCGGATTTTCGGTAATTCTAGACGCACTTATCGCTTTTAGCCAGGTTTATTATCTCTGGACGAGCCGTACGGGCTATCAAGCGTGAGCATCTACTGCATTATTTTGAACTGACATTTTAACTGCTTCAATTTGTGTTTAGAACAGACAATTTGATTCGGACATTGATGACATACATCATCAACACTGGTGCTCTGACAATGTAAGTCGAATCTGCTCGTTAAGGATACTTGACTCAAAACCTCAGAGGTGTGTTTCGATAGCGACTATGGTCACGGTACTACAAGCCATCTTTGAAGTCGCACGCCCCTTTTGCTCATGCACATTGTACCTAGGTTTGGTCACCAGCCTTGAAGAATAATCTACTCTTTTGTGGACTAGTTGTGATCCAGAGCAAACGTACGCATTATCTAGATCGGCTGTTCCCTTCACTGACACGCTGCAAAAGTTTATGCGAATTCACTTATCGCTGCGTGCGGTGTTTGTCCTCCTAGTCAGGCTAGACTGATGATGCTCAACTTTCTTACAGGCTGAACGCACGACAACGCCATAACGCTGAGCGGAAGCAGCCTTCTAGCTTCGTCGACATCGAGTTCCGTGGGGATCGCGGATTGTCCAGACCGGTACGCATAATCTTTACCAGTTCTTGACAAGTGACCTTATGTTGACGGTGACGTTGGAATAGCAAAACATTGAGATATTCCGCGATATAACAGAGATTACTGACCATGCTTTAGACAAGAGCGGCTCCACTGTGAAGGATTAGTACGGTGCACTAGGTGCTTCTATTGTAGGTTGTGTAGTCGCAGTCCGTGTCGGCATGGTATGCGCGGAATAGGCTGGCGTGCTTGGAGGATAGTACATATTTTGCTTCGCACTTCTTAATCAGCAATAATTACGTCTTCTGCGCGCAACGATCTCTACAGATCTAATGACCTCAGGCATGTTTCGATGCAAACATATGAACCCAGAACATTTGAATGCCGAGAAAATACTAGCTGCTAATTCAGAAGTACATTCGAAAATGGTACGGACAGACTTCACAATATGCAATCAGCGGAACATGTCACACTGCCCGTGTACGGAGCTTTAGTCTGCCGCCTGCAAACTTCATCCTCCTCATCGCTAACAGCAATCTCGAAATTAATGTGCCTCCCTTGAGGAATTTTGTGGCGAAAACACGCCTAAACTCGCGCGCGAGTTTGCCGCATAATCGTTGACCCATTTTCCCTCTTCGTTTCTCTCTCTGCAGACTCAAATGCCAACAGGGATTACTCTTCGTTTCATGGCCTACACGTATGAGCAGCCCCAGTCAAGTGAGCACAGGCGCAGATATCTTCAGACTAGGATCTTGTACGACCACCTCCAGCAAGTGGCGCAGGACCATGCAAGCGAAAGCTCTGAGATTTCGCGCGGATTGTCACATGCATCCGCTATTGACCTCCTGGAAAGTGTTGCGGTAACCGTGAATGAGGCGGTAGACGTTGACATTGCTTCTGGAGATGACGGCGCACGGACGTTTCGCCTTGGAGGAATATCCAGAGATGAGGTGAATAGCCTTACATCGACTAGCTCTTCAGTGAGTTGTCAGCGTATCTTTTCCCATCATGCTCACTGCATGGACTCGCGCTACACTATCAGCTGTCCCGCCAAAATGCTGCCAAACTCAAATCTGCTCTGAAGACGACCCTGCTATCTATTGTAGATTATTATGCAGATGATATAGTAGACAACGACCCAGGTGCGCTACTACCGTTCTTTGCAGGGCTGGCCCTCACACTCGTGCGAACAAGAAGTTGGAGATGGTTTATTTGAGTCTGCCTCGCGACTCCTAGACGAGATCCGTGCGAGGCAAAAATGGACGCTTGAGCACGAGTCTCTCATTCGAGATCAACAGGAACGTATACAGAAACTCGTCGGACAGATAAATGCGGTACGCTCGCGCACCGCCGAGAATACACGTATTCAGATCATTGAATTGTTCGTTCGTTCCAGATACATCCACGGTTAGAGGAGAAACTATTGTATGCGCTGACCACCCTGCCCCCATTGGTGAATGCCACCCGCACTGCGCAGGCGGATGTTAGTGCCATCTCCATCGAAGCAGCCCTTCTCAAGTTGTCTATCCTCCGCGCCCGTGCCCACATTGCGCTGTACGGCCACAGCTCGCCTAAGGCGCCCGGTGGTACCACGAACCAGGCGCTTGCAGCTGCCTACAACAAGCTCCACGACAGGGAACGCGCGCAGGAGAATGAAGAACGTGATCTTGATGGAAAGCTCGCTTCATATGAGGGCCTTCTTGGGCTTTTCGACAGGCAGCAGGGTGGGTTTGCCCAGGTGGTCGCGGATATGGCCCGGGTCAAGAAGGAGGCAGAGGAGTGCAAGAAGGATCTGCGACGGCTAGGTTGGACTGGAGACTGATCTGGACCCCGGGGTAGCCTCGTGAATGGGCTACGTGCCTTTGTCTTGTGCTGAACCGGGTAGACGTCACACGGGTGGACGGACGTCGGGAAGGCGAGCGTGTCACGCTTCGTGTTGGAAGTTCGAATGCAGACGTTGGACAGCGGCGACAACTTGGAGTATTTTTCTGCCAGGCTATGGGACCAGCAAAAAGAGATGAGCTTCGATCTTGAAAATATCGCATATGGTAACGCCCTACACACCAATTTACACTCATTCACCGCCGTTGACTTACCTCGTAAAGGCGGGCTCTGCATTCGAGCCAGGCACGAATACTGCATCGGGTACTGTTCAGTGGTTCTTGATGGCAATGATATTATTCCAGAGACTATTCAAATTGCACTGGCCGAGTTGGATTCCGTGCTCTGCGCTGATGTAAAAGACTCCGCTAAGCTTCTCCGACCTGCAATAGCTTCCCTACTGCTGCGCACTTGTCAAGGAAGTTTTCAGGTGGTCGCCAGCTGCGCCAGACAGATTCCCGCATTACTTGGACAACGATGATGTGTACAATGGTTATGAGGTCATTATTTTAGCAATTCATTTGCAACAAGATACATATGCATATAAAACTCACCAGATCAAAGGAAAACTATGGTCATACCATGCATCTGGCCAACGACAGAACCACATTCGAAAAAATGCTTCATGCTGACCATATAATAGCATCGCAATGAGAGGAACATCCTGAGCAGCATCGCTTCAATCTTTATCGATTCTTATGCAAGAACAAATTTATTTCGGGAGAATCCCTTACCGAGGGTCACTGCGGGGTTGGGTTCGGCCGCAGGTGAGCAATAATGGCGTCTGAGTAGCAGACTAACAAGCGTTGGCACCATTATATGCATCAGAAAATGACCTGGTCAGTATATCGGCGTAAAGACCATTTGAAAGTGGATAGTGCGCGTTCTGTGAGGATTTAACATCGAACCTGACTACGATGAAGCAGGAAACGTGCTTACCATCGATCCGGACAACTGCACTTTCGGCATGACCTTGTACGTGGACGACCTATCCAATAAACCAATATGCTAAACATTTAACACATAGGAGGCCTATCAATTTTACTTTGCAAATCACACCGCGATCTGCTGAATATGAGCGGACTATCAGGCGAGAGTGGGGTGTAATATCGAAAGCCATGGCGTAGGTTTGACTGCACCGGTAGTAGACCTGTTTGAAGAGTATCCATACACGTAGAATACTTGACACCTCAGGACAATATATCATTCGAGAAACCATGTTCACTTATCACTGAAAATGTGTCCGCATCCGCATTAAAGCGAGACTTACGCAAAATATGCTATCGACTATCGTGATACGCACTCTGTTGAACATATCCTGCGTGCGCTGCGGATGATCCTCGGATGAATATAGGGATAACCGGAGGTTTTTAGTCTGGAGCAGCCAGGCCGACTAGGAAGCTTCAGCGTGATGCGAGACAATGGTCAGTTAGCCTTAGTACCCGCAGAGGCGAAACGTCTTGAGATCTCGGTGAGTCTGTGAATGTCCACAGTCAAGATGGTCTTCTCCGAGAGAGCTCAAAGAGGTAGAATGCCATGCAACAGCATACTCAGGTGACTTGGCACACAACGATCTGCCATACAGATTCAATGACCTCAAGCATGTATCGATGTAAACATATAAATCAAGAGCAGTGAACGCCAATAGGATATGAGCTGCTAATGCAGAAGTACTGTACATGAAACGGTACGGGCGGACTTACATCACACTATGCAACCAGCGGAACATGTCGCACTGCTCATGTACGGAGCCTTAATCCGCTGCCTGCAAATTTCGTCACTAACAGCACTCTCACGTATTTGCGAACAATAACACGCACAATAGTGAACAGTCACAACAGACCAACAGTCTCACCATAAAAACCTCGTACCGGAAATACGACGGATAATTATATGCAGTTCGACATCGTACCAAAGTATCGCTTAGACAGAAATCCAACATCTTCGCAAATATCACCATAAGCACAATAGTTGAAACATCTAATTCGAACCGCTCGATACGCGCAGAGGATATTAGACGACTATAGAAACCGCCAATCTAATTCATTGAAATTATGAAGTAGTCAGGCACGAGATAAAACAAAGCATTTTTAGTTTTGCAGTCTCTACGACGTGAACGATGCGACATGCTCCTCGACGACCTTCTTAATCCTTGCTTCCAGCTCAGGCGTAATCGAGCCAGCAGCAATTTCCTGTAAGAGGGGGGCCTGTGCTGAGGTCAAGTGTGACCGGAACTCAGCCTCCCACTTAGTGATCTTGTCAACTGGGACGGGGTCGAGCTATAACAAGGCATTAGCGAACGTTAACGCTCTCCATGAACGGATGACTTACAAGACCGTTGACACCAGCGTAGATGATAGGGACCTGAATCTCCATCGACAAGGGCTGGTACTGACCTTGCTCTGAGGGAACGTCAGTCAAGAAGAAGGTCCAATGCCACAAGATACATACTCAGAAGCTCAGTGAGACGAGCACCACGTGACAGGAGGAAACGCGTCGACGCGTCGAGGTCAGAACCGAACTGCGCAAAAGCGGCAACTTCACGGTACTGAGCAAGGTACAACTTCAGCGAACCGGCGAACTTCTTCATGATCTTCCTGTTATAGCCTTGTAAGTATAAGCATACTATCGAAGATTGTAGAACTCACGTCTGGGCGGCTGAACCGACACGGGACACGGAAAGACCGACGTTGATGGCAGGACGAACACCACGGAAAAACAGCTCAGCCTCCAAGAAGATCTGACCGTCAGTGATGGAAATAACCTAACCATCGCCACGAACGTAGCGTTAATGACCAGTACGGAAATAGAGCGGAGGTAAAGCACGTACGTTCGTCGGAATGTACGCCGACACGTCACCGCCTTGTGTCTCAATGATAGGCAGAGCAGTGAGAGATCCACCACCGAATTTCTCGTTCATCTTGGCGGCACGCTCCAACAGACGCGAGTGCAGATAGAAGACATCACCGGGGTAAGCCTCACGACCAGGGGGACGACGAAGCAGCAGCGACATTTGACGGTAAGCAACAGCCTGCTTGGACAGATCGTCATAGATGATCAGACCTGTAAGACGCGTTAGCTGAAGTTCGTCGAACGTAATCACTACAACATACCGTGCTTTCCGTTATCACGGAACCATTCACCCATGGCACATCCAGAGAAGGGAGCCAAGTACTGAAGGGGAGCGGCCTCTGACGCAGTGGCAGCAACGATGATAGTGTACTTCATCGCGTCATTCTCCTCAAGGGTCTTGACGAGCTGTGCGACAGTCGAACGCTTCTGGCCAACAGCGACATAGACACAGTAGAGCTTCTTGTCCTCGTCCTGGCCATCGTTCCACCTCTTCTGGTTCAGGATGGTGTCAATGGCAACAGCGGTCTTACCGGTCTGACGGTCACCAATGATAAGCTCACGCTGGCCACGACCAATGGGAACCATGGCGTCGATGGGCTTAATACCTGTCATCATGGGCTGGTTGACCGAGCGACGGGGAAGGATACCGGGAGCCTTGAGCGAAGCACGGCGACGCTCGGAGACGTTAATAGGACCTTTGCCGTCAATGGGGTTACCGAGCGCGTCAACGACACGACCGAGCAGCTCAGGGCCAACAGGAACGTCGACGATCTGACCAGTACGCTTGACAGTGTCGCCCTCCTTGATGAGACGATCGTTACCGAAAATGGAGACACCGACGTTGTCGGCCTCCAAGTTCAAACACATGCCGCGGACACCGGAGGAGAATTCCACCATCTCCTCGGCTGTATGCGCGTATGAGACGCATCGCTAGTGAGGAAACACGACGATACTTACCCTGAACGTTTTTCAGACCCCATACACGCGCAATACCGTCACCGACGCCTAAAAAGGTTCGTATGATAAATATGGACTCCAACGACGAAACAGACCCGAACGCACTAAGAACGCGGCCAGTCTCCTCGACGTTCGCGCCCACGGAAGTGCCAGCTATGCGGGACTCGAGAATTGAGGACACCTCGGATGCAGCTGAGCGTGACGTGTCATGACGAACGGCGAACGCATCAGACACGCGAAAGCAATGAGCGTTGGTGAGCGACAATACTGCCAGCAGGGAGATTGAAACAATTACCAGCTTTTGCTGTCGCATACGAGCGGATGACAGTGGGGGCGACCCGGCCGGCGCTCTGAAATTTGGAAGTTACAGCAAGCGGTGAGCTCAAAATGCTGGAAAAACGCGAGCAATGGGAATGCGCACCCTAGAAGCGGCGAGCGCGGACGCGCGCATGGAATTCCTGAGTGCGACTCTGTGCATGAGGGTGGAAGGAAAGGTGGAAAGATGGGGAAGGAGGTGGAGGGAGTGAAGTCGTTCGTTGACGTTGAGTCGCTAGGGTGAAGCCGGAATCCCGACTCTAAGACCCTTACATAACCCACTCTTCAAGCTCCGCCTCAATCTACATTTCCCATGCGTCGGCGTCATCCGGCTTCTCGGAACACGCAGCCACCGTACCCGTCCCCGCGCTGTCGACGTTCACGCTCCTCGACCATGGCAAGTCTCTTGAGACGTAAGTTTCTGCACCGCACTGTGTGTATTTGATTGCAATAACATAGCTGACCTCCTCTCCAACGCCAGCTGCAGCCTTGCGTACAGTAGCGAGACGTGCTCTGCACACTGAAGCCGTACAAACGCCGTCTACGACGCCCAATGCACTTTCCCTGATCCGCTCCCAGCCTTTTCAATACGTTGTCGCGTCGGTGGCGGGCAGAAAGTACCTCCTTTCACCCAGGGACCTTCTCACCGTTCCCCGCCTCAAGGACGTACGTGTCGGCGACGTCCTCGCCTTGTCCGACATCCATGAAGTTGGCTCGCGCGAATTTACCATGCGTGGCAACCCAACCATCCCCCCAGAAAATATCAAGGTTCAGGCGACCGTGGTGGAGCACACAAAGGGCAAGATGGAGGTCATATTCAAGAAGAAGCGGAGAAAGGGCTATCAAAAAACTATCACCCATAAGCAAACATATACACGTCTGAGAATCGGGCCAATTGATATTGTAGACCAGTAGCATTCATGTCACTAATCATTACTACTCAAGTTCACCCTTGTCCTATGCATGAATCATATTTCCCCTTCCTCCGGAGTTTCTGCCCTCGGAGGAGGCTCGTGCTTAGGCGGCTCCTCTGGTATGCCCTCCGGCGGGACACTGTATTTGGCCCTCTGAAGTGCAATTGCCATCAGCTAACAAATAACGAACAAAGTAAAGCTGTGCGCACCTTTTCCGCGCGTCCCTCGAGTCCTCTGTCGTCGTACACCGTCCTGTCTCTCTTCTCACGCGGGTCGTCTCGATAAACAGACGCACTTCTCTCCCTGTCATCCCGGTACGTGGGGGCCGGGGGAGCGTCCTGACCATATGCTGAACCCTCATCCCAATCCCTGCCGCCGTATCCGTCGTGGTCACCCCGCGTGCTTTTGCGGTCTCTCCTTTTGTCATCCCTCTCATACTCCCGGTGATGCCTGGAAGACTTATAAGCATGGTCCCCCTTGTCTCGCTCTTTCTCGCGACCATGATAAGCCTTTTCCTTGGCGTAGTCGCGCTCGCGGGGATAGTCCTTTGAGGATCGGTGGCTATGACTCTCGTGATCTTCATGCCCACGATGAGGACGAGTGCTGCGACTGTCATGGTAATCCCTCTCCGAATCTCGCTCGCGATCACGGTGTTCACGGTGGTCCCGCTCGCGATCCCCATCTCGCGTGTCCTTAGTGGGCTCCTTACGTTTACGGCTCGTTGTGGAGCCACCGTCCTCGGACGCCTCACGTTCGCGTTCTCGCAGACGCTCCTGAGATAATAAAAATGGTCATAACCATTGGAACAAAGAATCTAAATGACAAACCCACTTTCTGACGTTTGACGAACTTCGCAAATGCGGCCCTTTTGCTTTCCTCATCTTCTATGGCCTTGTATTCAGGTAGATCTTGTATAATTGGGACAGCCTTTGAGAGAATGTGAGAACGATTATTGCAACGACGGTTTTGGACACGCACATCTTCGTACGACATATTAAGATCGATGGGTTCAGTGAGTTTCTTGAGGGCATAACGCAGATCGTCCTGCAAATGGCGCTGCCTTCTCTCAGCACGGCGCTTCTCATCTGCTTGCTGCTTCAATGCTTGTGCATAGAGCTGTTTAGAAGACACATGAACGTTGAAAATTAAATCCGTTTGAAAAGGTAATGAGACTACATACCGTATCGAAGATACCCTTCAGGTCCTCTGAAGATAGCTTCCGCATTTCTTCATCATCATTTGGTTTCACAATCGAGATGAACTCTGTCTCAGTAGTATCAGAAGTAATTTTGAACAACTTGACGTTGTTCTCATCCCCATCCTTCTTCGAACCGTCTCCTTGTTGAGCTTGGATTTCAAGCTGCTTGTTGTGACGTTTGATTGCCCCCTCCACAATGGCGATCTTCGCGTCGAGCTTTTGATCAAGGCCATCAACGACGTCCCAGAAAAGCTCGAGAGGATTCGATCCAGGATTGCCGAGCATGTCCAGGTATCGGGGATCTTCGGCAAAGGAAGGATATACTTCTTTCCATTTCGTACGAGCTTTGAGTTGGCCTGACTGCACAAGGCTCTGAAGCAAATCCTGCACAACGAGGTAAATGCAACTTCAAAGACGATGCCTGGAATAAATACGCACTCGGAATCCTTCTCTGGCCTTACGCTCTTTTCTCGTTTTTTCTACCTGAGCACGGCGCATCTGCTCATCAAATTCACGCTCGCGAACTCGGCTGTAGTCCTCAAATGCGAGGAGGATGTCTAGTGTAGGCAGCTTCTGCAGCTCCGGGTCTTCCTTCCATTCTTCGGAGTCGAGGACAAGTTGGTTCGCTTGACGCCAACGCGTTGTAACATCAACGTCGAGTCGCTTGAACAAGGCTACGATTTTAGAGACACTGCGAGAGCGCGCGGCACGACTCTCTTGCTATTTTTCCGGATTCTCGACTCATTAGAAACGGAAACAAAAAGGATTGGACATAGTCAAGGACCACGCACCACTTCACGTTGCTTGAGCTCTGCTACGTACTCTTCGAATATCAGTTTACGCTCTGCCTCGATCTTCGCTTGTTGCCATATCGGATGTTGAGCGAATAGCTTATCGGCAGTGGCAAAGGTGCTGTAGTGGAAGACATTTGGATTTCCCTTGAGCATGTTTCTGATCGCAGGCCGCAGCTTGGACAATCGAGCTTCACGTTCCTCGTGAGCCTTCGTCTTGATAGCATCGATATACTGATAAACGCTATTAGTGGCATGAGTCATGGAATTGGACTACGTTTGCATACTTTTTGCCAGGCTGCCTTTTTCTCCGCCAATGTATTGAGCGCTTTGTATAGTGGGTCCGTGATGATGGCGCGCATAGTTTGATCCCATGTCCAATCCATGTCCACTCCAGCCTTGCGTAACAAATGCATGAACGCTTTCTCACCTTCCTCGACGGTCACAAACCCGTTGTGGGGAATGACAGGATCATCTGGCAAATTGGGCCGAGCAGGCAGAACGCTGGACGGGGCAAAAGGCAGACCACCAGTGTGTGGACCAACAGCGAGTTCGCCCATGTGCCCATTCGGCTGCGTCTGAGAACCGGGGGCGGATAAGGACGAGTCAGTCGCTCCCATAGCAGCAGGTGCACCTTGCAGAGGAGTTCCAGCATTTCCGCCTGAAGTGGCACTGTGATAGATATGAGATAGAGTAATCATGAGATACATAGAAAGCTCACACTAGGGCATTATTTGGTTGCGGCGCTGCTTTACTCTCCTTTTCCACCTTTTCAAGCAGCAGTAGAAGTTCATCGGGCATATCCCATTTCGACTCTTTGGAATCGGTCTAAATAAACGTGAGCACATCGCATAATCAAGGTCAACTAAGAGATGTCATACATTGTAATAGTACTTCCTCCCACCAGAGAAGTATTCCTTCCATTTTGTTTGATTCAAGGCACGCTATACGGTAAAGTCATGCAGTTCAAAACGTCAGTCTACAATCGAATTTTGCTCACCTCAAAGGGTGTTTTCAGATCTTTGATATGGATGAGTTGATTGTCTCAAAAACCAGAACCGTCATACTTACCGTCTGGTTTCTCCCAGACACTTTCCCTTGTGCCTGTGTTGAACCAGTAGGTACGACCTTCTGGATTTCGATGCTCTGTCTACAAGCAAAATGTTATAAGAGATATGTAATGGAGATGGTTCATAGATTGCATACCCAGACGTTCATTGCAACTGGAGAGCGATACTTGGTCGTGGTTAGAATCCAAGTCCGGAATGGCCGGAATTGAGCCACGGGTGATCACGAACGTGGGAATACTCA